TGGGAAATGGCCCAGAAGGAACTCCAGATGATGTTAGAGTTGGGAGTTGTGTAGGAGTCCCGCAGTGAATGGAGGAGCCCAATTGTTCTCGTCCCAAAACCGGATGGGATGATGCGCTTTTGCATTGATTTCCGCAAAGTTAACGCCATCTCGCGGTTTGACACCTACCCGATGCCTCGAGCCGAGGAGTTACTGGACCAGCTCGGGCAGATGGAATACTTTTCCATCCTAGACATGATAAAAGGGTATTGGCAGATTCCCCTGACGCCAGCCTCCAAGGAAAAAACTGCCTTCCCCACCCCCTTTGGCCTGTTTCAATTCGTGACCATGCCATTTGGACTTCATGGGGCCACGGCCACATTCCGGCGATTGATGGACCAATTGTTATGGCCCCACCACCCCTACGCGGCTGCCTACATGGACAATGTGGTGATCTATAGTCTGACATGGGAGACACATCTACAACACTTAGAAGCAGTATTGGAGACCCTGAACAAGGCCGGCCTGACAGCCAATCTGTGAAAATGTCAGCTGGGCCGCCGGGAAGTGACCTACTTAGTCTACACCATCGGACAGGGGACAGCACGACCACTAATAGACAAGGTAGAAGCCCTGCGGGAATGTAAGACACCCAAAACAAAAAAAACAGGTATGCAGTTTTTGGGTCTAGCAGGATATTATTGCCGGCTTATACCTGGTTTATCGAATATCGCTGCGCCATTATCAGACCTCACTAAAAACACCTAGCCAAATAAAGTACAGTGGTCAGCAGAGTGCGAGAGGGCCTTCAGGACCCTGAAAGACAAACTTACTAAAGCCCCCCATCTTGTTACACCCTGACTTCTCGAAACCCTTTCTGCTGCAGACTGATGCCTCAGAGAGGGGCTTAGGGGCGGTTTTGTCCCAGCAGGCGGAGGGGCGGGAGCACCCAGTGGTATATATGAGCCGTAAGCTCTTCCCACGAGAACAGAACTATTCCACAATAGAAAAGGAAGCACTGGCAGTGAAGTGGGCTATAGACGCTTTAAGATATTTATTAGGAAATTTTGGGAGTGCCCAGAGACCACACACTTCCTCCACCTCAAATCCCTCCCCACTAAGGTTCTGGAAGAGTGTTTGAGTGGGGAGAGGAATGCAGACTCTGGGACAGAGTTTGGGTGCAGAAGGGGGCAAGGGGTCAGCCTTTAGGAGGGAATGTGGGTATAGAAGGGGGTCTGGGGTACAGACTCTGAAATGGAGTCTGGGTGCTGGGTGCAGACTCTGGGCTGGGGCACTGGAGGGGAAGAGGGTGCAGGCTCTGGGAGGGAGATTGAGGACTGGAAGGGATGTGGGGGTGGGAGGTGCGGGGGGAATTTGGAAGCAGGAGAGGAGCTGGGGTGCAGGCTCTTGAAGGTGGGTGGGGGAGAGGGGTGGGTGCTTACTTGGGGAACTCCTCTCTGGCAATGACTCTTGGCGGGGAGGTAGGAGTCTCTGCATGCTGCTCAGGGCACTCAGGGCAGAGTCAGCATGTGGAACCCCTCCCCTTCCCCAGGGACATGCAGCAGCTGAGTAGAGCAAGCAGCAGGAAGCCTTTCTAGCACCACTGTGCTATTGGTAGTAGGAGCAGGGGCCCCTGCACCATTTTAAATTGCCTAGGGGCAGCAAGTGGAACTGAGAGGAAGCACACAGAAGCGGCAGGTGGGGGCCAGGGGAGAGACCCAGCCCTGAATTTTAGTAGAGCTGGGCCCTCAGCATCACAGGCCCATATAATTCACCATCCAGAGTTGGTTTAAACCTTAATGTTTCTTTAGTGCAGTTGTTTAATACAGCTTGTTTTGTGCTATGTATAACTCTTCTCTTTCATATAGAAATATGTAGAATTAACAAGTAGTGAATACGCCACACACAAATGAAATTAGTTTGATCAGTAATATTGTACTAGGATTGTCTTTTTGATTTTTGTTCATTGCAGGATGCTAGCTGCTAGACTTTTTCAGTTCAGAATTCTAGCACATTTCATCGCATACCATGTTTTCACTAAAGCGGGTGTGGAACCTAAGGCCCAAGGGCCGGATGTAGCCGCTGGCTTGCCTGGATCTGGCCATCCCCTGCGGAGCCTGCACTGCGGTTTCTGCTCCTTCCATGTCCCACCATCTCGCTGGAGCACACAAAATCTACTAGCCTGGGGCCCCCAGGCTCTGGTATGCAAAGAGAATATTAGGAGTGACTTTCTCCTTCTCTGTGAGGGGCCAGGTCAGTGAGGGTTTGGTTTTTCTTTTTTGCTTCTCACTTGTATGTGGCCCGCGATTGATCTTTCTGTGGGTCAGCAGCACCCAATCCAAAAAAGGTTCCCATCCTTGCATTCAGGGGTGGATGAGAGTTTTGCGGGGCCCAGGGCGCGGGGCCTATTGAACCTCTGCTAAGACAATTTATCTCATTTAACTATCAGGCTAAGTCTACACTGGCCCCTTCTCCGGAAGAGGCATGCTAATTTCTAACTTTGGAATAGGGAAATCCGTGGGGGATTTAAATATCCCCCGTGGGATTTAAATAAACATGGCCGCCGCTTTTCTTCCGGCTTGGGGAAAAGCCGGAAAAGAGCGTCCAGACTGGCGCGATCCTCCGCCGCTTTTTTTCCTGCTTGGGGAAAAGCCGGAAAAGAGTGTCCAGACTGGCGCGATCCTCTGGAATAAAGCCCTTTTCCGGAGGATCTCTTATTCCTACTTGTCTAGGTCCTACTTGAAAGTAGGAATAAGAGATCCTCCGGAAAAGGGCTTTATTCCAGAGGATCGCGCCAGTCTGGACACTCTTTTCCGGCTTTTCCCCAAGCAGGAAAAAAAGCGGCGGCCATGTTTATTTAAATCCCGCGGGGGATATTTAAATCCCCCGCAGATTTCCCTATTCCAAAGTTAGAAATTAGCATGCCTCTTCCGGAGAAGGGGCCAGTGTAGACGTAGCCTCATAGTTTAAAAATGAAAGGGCAGTATTGTATGTGGCTTAGGAAATGAACATCTTTAAAGATGCAGAGTCAGGAGGCCAGGAGGATGTTCTGTGGTCAAAGCCTCATCTGCAGTACCAGAGAACTCCATGGGTTCACTGAGTGCAGGACCTAGACAAAAGATCTGATTGACCATAGCTGTTTAATAAAAAAAACCCAACAAAATAAAACAATTTCACCAGTGTATGAACTAAATGTATGGCTTGTTGTGGCAAGGCTTATGAGACACAATAAAATAAGAAGCCCCAGATTTCTGGCCTTGGTATAGATTTGGGAGGCTGCACATAAAACAACACTGATGAAAAGAGAGTGTAAAATATGAAATGAATTCAACAGAGTGAGTCATAATAAATACTCCTACTCTGATTCTCATATCTTTCTTTAATTAATTAATTCTTTTGCTGCTCTACTGTAAACTCTTAACAGATTTCTTTCAGGGCTGGCAAGCCAGACAGTTCATATAGAGGGTGAACAGATGTCCTAGTTTATAGAGATTGACCCAGGCTTTAGAGTCAATTCTAGGGTCACAGACAGCTCAAGTGAAATCAGGATTTTCTATTTTCAATAAAACTGGATAGGTAGTCAGCTGGTTATCCTCTTTCTGTTCACACTATCCTGGTGGGCCTGAATATACCGCTTCTCCAGTTGTTGACTACTAATGCTAAATTGATCTCTTGGTCACAGCATGGATTAAGGAGTGGAATCTAGGTCACCACAATCCATTATGCAGCAATATGGCAAATTCTAAAGTAGCAGATGCTTGAGATGGCATAGGTCCCCTCCCATCCCTGGGAGCAACAGTAAAATACTAATTTTACATTCAATTGCAATTCTGTGGCAGAGGCTCTCTGCAAATCTCTGTAGAATGGGTCTGGGCAAGATGGGACCTGGGGGGCCAGCTTCAGGCCACCTAACACTTTGATCTGGCCTGCAGATTACATCTGGGTGCTACTTACAGACTCCTGCCCATGCCACCAAATTTCCAGGCAGTTTCTCAGGCAGCCAGATCCTTTTAAAATGGCTCCCAACTCCTACTCACAATGTTATCCCGGCAGGGGTTGAAGCTGTGAGCACTTTAAATAGTCACAGCTACTTTGGGTGGCTGCCAGGCAATGCGGTAGCAGTGGGGCTGGGATCCAGGAGCCTTCTCCTGTGTTTTTAATACAAAGCTTCCAGCCCCAGACAACTCTGCGGGAAGGCTAGTCCTTAGCCCTGCCCCTTCCATCCTAGGTCCCCCCCCCCTTTTAGGGGTGAAGCAGACCCAGGACCATGTACCATAAATCATTGTGCCCCCCCCCTGGAAAATTATAGCCTACCACTGCTGTAGAACAACAATAATAGCAGTTGTACTCAATTATTAGAGGGGCCTATTAGAAGAGTGAAGTTTTGTCTATCCTTCTTGTGCCTGTTCCAGTGGAAGATAAAGATTGGAGTTTTGGATAGCACGGGTAAATTCCTATGTCCTGGTTAACATTTTTTTTTTCACTCAATAAAACAAGTTTAAAATGTATACTTATCAATGACTCAAGTGATCATATACAATGATTGTTGTGTTTTGCTGCACCATTACTTTTATTATTAGAAGTACTGTACAAACCCAACATTTTGTTTTACTATAAAGCACACAAAAAATAAAATGCATTAAGTGTTGCACATTTGTTTTGATAGCAGTACAGGTTGTCTATGGACTATCCTCCAATGAGTCTGCAGAGTGCACAGCGGCTGTACACAGTTGCATCCTCTTGCCCCTCTCCTCTTCCTTATTATCAGCTGATTAGGTTAAACTCCTAGTGAAGGGAGGGAGGGTTGCAATTTTTTACATGAGTTAGCAGCAGGTTGAGTTGTTACAACATGAGGGAGCCTACCTGTGACCTGCTAGATCACGTGACTACATACACCCCTTAGAACCCCCATCCCCACTGCTTCCCCTGCTCAGGGTGTGCTACAGCTCCCTCACCCCAGCCATCAGGCTTCGCTTTCTCCAGGCACGTGACTCTTACGTCAACTGACACGTCGTGACGTGCCTCATTGTTGCGCAGTTGCCATGGTTACGAGAGACGCCGTTGGAGTCCCCCTGGCAGCGCGAGGGACGCCGAGGTAAGAAAAATCCCATCCCTTCCCCCCTCCCAACTCCCTGCAGGTTCCGGGGCTCCCTGTCCCCGCGGCTCCTCTTGGCGGCCGGTGGCTCCCGCTCCCCCGGGGGGCCGCGCACCCG